ACCTCAAAAGCGTGCCTTAAGTGCAGACTAACGGATTTAAAAACTTCCATCTGTGCTACAAAGGAGAGCCTTCTCTCCATTAGTAAAAGAGTTGACATTGCTGAGAATCAGGTCCAGAGTCTCATTATATGAATAGCTGTATTACAACAGCAGCTGAATTTCAGATCTAGAGCAGTGTCTGAAACCAAAGTAAGGGCATTGATTGGGAAAAGTTGGGACCCTGAAACATGGGATGGGAACATATGGGCTGATGATCCAGAAGAGGAGGATATTGAGCCCTTAGAAACAATTGACCCACCCCAGTCAATAAATCCAACCTTGTCTAACAAAAAGTTTTTAGGTAAAAAAATTAAATACATACCTTTGAAAAAAAGTTCCTTTGGGGGGGTGCGGTACCCCCTCATAACTTTTTGGGCAATAGCATTCAATCAGACAACATTGTATTACATTGATTTTATATATAATTATGATTTTTTATTATTACTGTCATTGTAGTTTTCTAGAACCTGTTGTTGTTATTTATTATTGGCATTGCTGTAATTTTCAAGAACATTTTCTAGAACATTGATAAACACTGAAATATAATAAAGATAGAAATTCCTCTACTTCAGAATTTGATCAGTGCCTAGCCTTGATTAAAAGTCAGATTGCCTTTTTGTTGTTGTTGTTGTTTTGTTTTTATGGTTTTTCTGTTGTTTTGTTTTTGTGCTTATTATTGTTTTTACATGTCTATCTAGATAAGGTAGATGGGATAAAAAATCCAGAGGAGAAAACAACTGGACTAGTGGTTGTCGGGGCACACTGGAGAGGGAGAGGCAGGGGAAAGGAAGAGGGGTGCCAACAAACTCAGGGACAAGGAAACACGGGTGATCTAAAGTCAATGGTTAGGAGGGTATAAGATGCCTGGTGAGGCTTGACAAAGGGCAATGTAGCCACAAGTAATTACTGAAACCCAAATGAAGGTTGAACATGATAGTGGGACGAAAGGAAAGTAAAAGGAAATAGAGGAAAGAATTAGCAGGCAAAGGACATTTATAGAGGTCTAAAAACAGGTATATGCATATGTAAATACATTTATGTATAATGATAGGGAAATAGATCTATGCACATATATTTATATGGTAAATATTAAGATAGTAGACAGACATTGGGCCTCTACTCAAGTACTCCCTCAATGCAGGAACACTTTGTTCTAATAATCCGGCATTCTGTGATGTTCACCTTCTTGACACAATCACTGAAGACAAAATGGGTGTATAAGCAAATGTGGTGAAGAAAGCT